TAATACTCGTAACAATACTTAGAAATTATATATAAACATAATTAAGGTTTCCAAATCCTTACATTAATTTTTTTAAATGACCACACAAAAAAATCCTTCATAGCAATTTCTCTTTCCTTAGTAAATAAATTTATTATTACATAAGTAATTTAAAATATAGAAAAAAATGAGATCAGTTAAATCAATAGTAAACTATAAAGCTTGAAATACTGGAAGCTTAAAAAAAAATATCAAATTTAACAAATATAACAAATTACTTTAAATTGCTATTAATGTTGTAAGAGAGAGTATTGGAGTTGTCACAAAGGGTTTTAAATAACATTTAATGCTAAATCTAGTTAAAAAATTTGTAATTATTCAATTATCTCGCAGACTAGAAAATAAATAAAGTTTTTAATCAATTTTCACGCTTTTCTTCGAGGGGGGAGTAAGAAAGAAATATGTGTTCTGATTATCTGATCAATCTATCTGTTTTGTCTGATCAATCTGTTCTGATCTGATTATCTGTTCTGATCTGATTATCTGTTCTGACTGATCAATTCGAAAATCCTCTAGCTCTCTGAAACCTCTTCATAATAAAAGACGCGACTGAAAAATGATGGTGCTGCCATCTGTGAGATATTTATGAAACAAAAAGATAAAATCTGACATTTTTTTAGATGTCTAAATTGTTTTCTCTCATCTTTCATATAAATCTTATTGTTTTTTTAAATTTATTTTGAAGCAATATACAAATCAATCAATGAAAAATACCTGTTTATTCTAGAATAGCCTTTCTATGTTTAAGAGCTACTGGAATTTAAAAAAATAAAGCCAATTTTGTACTATTCCGAATTACATTTATTTTATAATTTCGTTCTAAAAAGTGTCTTCGACGAATCAAATAATATTAATCATCTCTATTTAAGGAAAAGTACTATTTAATTCATACATTAATGCTAATACTATTTGATTACAAAATTTCACTTTGTCGTTAATAACAGAATAATGATTATTCAACTCCAGTTAGTTCTGATGTGGAATTAGAATCATGAAAAACGAGTTAACTGAAATTTTTCTCGGAGATTTAGCTAGGACTATGGTCAAATTTAATTGTATTACGTACAGTATGCATTTTCGTAGCGTCAGGTGGAGCTGGGTGGGTATTTTTCCTTTCTCTAACAGTTTTCCAATTTTTTTCCACGCCCTCTTTTTTTAAACGCAAATAATATTAATTCTTATTTATTAAACAAAAATTTTAATGGTGTTTACAAAATTTAACAAAATAATTTTATTCCATCATGGTTTTCCCTTAGATTAATTCCTTGAAATTGCAATATACATTTTTACTTTTTCGAAAAACTTATTATGTAAAAAGAGGTATTATGCATCTGCTTTTTCCATTTATTTTACTAGGTTTACCATTGTTTTGCAAAACTCTTTAAATGAAAGCATTACATAATCTGTCTTGTCCTTAGAAAGGATATATATATATATTTCCGCGTATTACATAGTGTTTTGATTAACAAAGAAATAACGTAGGTAACATAAAGAACAGTTCAATTCAAAATAAGCAGGCGGACATCTAATAAAAAGGAAAGAACAGTGCGGGCGGAAGACGTTGTCTCTCCCCGCGCGATGCTGAAAACAGCGCCCTTAATTTTCTTTTTAAACATAATCTTTTTTAAAAATTAGTCTTGCAGGTGTAGCTGTAAAGATAGGTATATTTTAAAATGCAATTTAACCTTAGAATATATAATAAAAAATGACTCATAAAAAATCTTTCTAAATCAAACAATACTTTTATCAAGGAAGAAATATATAATTTACTGAACATTAAATCTGTGTCCCGTTCGACCCCCCCCCCTTCTCAACTTGACGCTCCGGGCAATCGCCCGCCCTTCCTGCCGGCCCTGACAAATAAAAAAAAAAGAATGTTTTTCTCTTCCCCTTTTCCCTTCCAGAAAACTCACACGCTATGCTTGAAGTTAGTTTAGTATTCGTACTCGTAAGTCATGCATCTTATTATTTGTTTTCACCACTAGTAGAAAATTAAATAATTTTAAATTAATTCATAGAAAAATTTTGTTTTCATAATCGGAAAATAAATGTAAATTTCAAATACTTTTTAAAGCTGTGTAAATTTTTTTTTTAAATTTTAACTTCAATTTTGTATTTGAATCAATTTTGTATTCAATTTCAAATTTGAAAAAAAAAAAATTTAAAATGTGTAGATAAAGAAACAAATTTCATCGGAATTTAAATATGCAAACTAAAAGAGGTCAAAATAATTTTATACTAAACAAAAAAATAAAAACAACATTTAACTTTCCATTCAATGCAATTTACGGAAAAATTCACTTGTCTTTTATAGGGAAAAAAATCGTTGGTGAAGTCAATTTAAAATAAGTAATATTCAACGAACACTTTTATATTTATTACTGATTTTACAGGTTTAATTTTAGTCAAGAAATACATAAATATAAATATAGCTTTGTCTCCTACATTTGTTTCATTTCCTTTCCATTAGTGCTCAATTTCCTAATTTGAATTGTATTAAGATTCAATAATATTCTATTGCCAATTTGAAAAAAGGTCAGTAAGCGCTAACTTTTTCAAGATTTCTCATTTGATTTATGTTGCGTAAAGCGACTAAAACAGAGACTTAACAATTATTTATTTAAAAAATGAATAAATAAAAAGATTCCTCTAGGCTTTTTTTTTTCCTACCTCTATTATTTGCGAGCCATACACCTATGTTAACTTTGCTATAAATCTAGATGTGAATAAAAGAAGTTGAGAACTCTTTTTTTTTTTTCTTTTTTTTTTGCCCCTCAAAACGTTTTATCTACGCCTAACTTATATGCTCCGAGATATGTGTTTCGCATAAAATTACATGAAAGTCGTTGGTTTTCTCCGCACGCCCATGCAATCTTATTCCGCTTTTATATAAAAAAGAATAAAAATTGTAAATGCCGTTAACGTATTCAATACGCATAAGATGTTCGAAATTGACTTAGTTCTTCAGCTATGGGATACTGGCGCGAGAAAATGGCGAGCCATTTTTATTTTTATTAGTGTAGTAAAAAAGAGATCTCGAAACCATCCAAATATATAGTATTGTTTGTTGCAATTCGAATTGTATGTATACTGCATATGAGAACACCATCTATGATTTGAGTCCTCTAATAAAACCTTTTGAAATAACCACCTGAGACCCGGGCTTTAAATAGTGGCGGCCTTCGGAAATAAACTTATGAATACTATAAAATATTTTTTTAATGAAAAAAGAACGTCATTGTCTTTCTATTTTAAATTTTTGCATAAAAAAATATCTTCGCATAAAAAACAATTCAAAACGTTACGTGAATCCTTTCTGCAAAATTTCCGACCAACGAAAGTAAATCCAATAATATTTTTTTATAGACAAACAGAAAAAGTAGTATTTTTTAAGTGATTTTATTGAATCTTAAGAGGTCATTTACATAACCACTTATTAATTTCAATACACCCATCATATTTTTAGTTTTTAAAGAAGAATTCTCGCAAGAATTTTTTATTCAAGCAAATAGACCATTGCATTATTTATAATACATAGCAGAACTTCGTCTCAACTCTATTCAAAAGCGATCTCATACATTTGAAGCATTTTAATGATTAGTTTGTCCAAGAAAACGTATTGTTCCAATTGCATTGAGTCCTCACAAAAATGATTTTAGCTTGTAATAATTAATTCTCTGGTGCTTTTGTCCAAATGATTCACCACTTAACTTAGTTCTTAAGTTATCATTTTTGAACAATGTGCAACACCACTTAACTTAGTTTTTAAGTTATCATTTTTAAACCATGTGCCAAAAGATTTTTGAACCTTTTTAATGACTATTGTTTGATACAGAAATTAATAATAGCAATAGCTGCGTGAATATTGTATTGAAGTACTGTACTGTGCATGTTTTTAATGAAAAATTAAAAAAAGAGAAACAGGAGTGAAATTGTATCAAAAATGCTGAGCTGCGTTTTTTAAAACATAATGTTAAGTATTGTTACAAATTTTTTGTTGGCTTCAGTAAAAGTTAATCAGACATTGCTTACCGAAAACTGTTTAATTCATTTGTCATAAGCAAAAATAAAACGAATTTAAACAAAAATTCTGCAAAATAAATCAAATATACCGTTCCGGATATTTTGGATGTTACATGCACGTTGCTTTGGATACTACATTTTATTTATTTATTTATTTTATTAAATTTGTTTGTGTAGACTACGATTTTTATTCCCCTCTGTTTAAAGTTACCGCGGTAACGCTTTTTAATGAATTTCAATCAGCTTTTTAATGAATTCCAGCTTTTTATAATCAGCTTTTTTAATGAATTTCATTACAGTTACGCAAAGTATAGAAATACGTATTCTTTAAAAAATTACGGGAGGTAATTTTGAAATATTAGGTAACATAAATTTAAGCTTATTTAGCTTTATTTAATGAATTTCATTATAGTTATGCATATTATGAAGGTATATATGAGGTATTTTTTAAATAACTAAAAAATATATAGATGTCAAAGCTTATTTAGCTCTTTTAATGAATTTGGTTAGAGTTATGCATATTTCTTTCACCCCTTCAGTGGGTCGATAAATGAGTACCAAGCGTGCTTGGGAACAAAACACTGGGGGTTCCACGTTCGGCTGACCACCTAACAGAAACATCTGCTCCTGCACCCCAGAGCCCTCTCGAAACCATCCAAAAAAAAAAAAAAAAAAAAAAAAAAAAAAAAAAAAAAAAAAAAANCTGAGATGGGCACAGTAGGCCTTGGCCCTCTATGGGCTGTCGCGCCACTGAGTTTAGTTTAGTAGTATGCATATTATAGAGTTATGTTTGAAATAATTAAAAAATATATTAAATAGATAATAAAGATTATTTAACTTTTTGAAACAGTTTCATTACAGTTATGCATATAATAGAGATTTGTATTTTTGAAATAATGACAAAATATATTTTTTTTAAAAATTATATTTTCTTTAAGATGGTGATCCAGCTTTCCCAGGTAGAAGAAAGATTGAAGAAATGTATCATTTATCATGTGATAGATCAGAATTCTACTCGATGAGTGATCTTCTTAAGCCACCAATTCTTTTTACTCCAACTGAAGACATAGACAAGGTAGAATATTTTTAATTCTCAAAGAATCTTCCAAAAAAAGTTCTCAATCGAAACCATTATTTATTTTATTATTCTACGTATTTTAAACAAAATTTGAAATATAGTTCATAAAATAAATTATATAAAACGAAACACGCATTTGATCTATAATGTAAGATTTTTCTTTCAAAATCACTGGAAACGCAAACTCAGTATATTATCTGATTTCGTTAAATATTACATATTACATGTAATATTGTATAGATTAAAAGATAATTTAATTTATAATATGCTATAATAGACAGATCATTGATTTAATTCCAAATCATGTAGAATTCAAAATAACATTTTTTTGAGCAAAATGGTAAACAAAAAAACAAAAACAAAATGCCATAACTGTCAGAATTTATCAAAAACTATAAAACCAATCAAAAAAATGTGAAATAAAATATGCATACATTGCAAAAAATCGCAATATAATTCTTTATTAAATTTGTTTATCCAGACCACGAATAGGAAAATGTTCATACATCATTTCTTTCACATTTTTCAAAAAATCCCAAAATTAAATTAAATCTTAAAATCAAATTATCCCCATTAAAAACAATATGTTTAGAAGCTTTAACGGTTTAAGAGTTTTCAATAAAATATTCATTTTTTAGTTCGTAAAATCTAGAGCAAGTAACTGTTTTTTAAAAAAATTAAATAAAAATAATTAGTCCATAATAACCAAAAGATCGTGTCTTTATATTGTTTGTATGATACAAATATTTGAGGAAAAAAATTAAAATACTCTGAAATAAAATTTTAATAGTTACTTTTAAAGCCTCACTCAAGGCTTTTGTCCCCAATCACTCCATTCGTTGGTTTACAAGTAATACGACAATTTAAGGGAGTTCTTATTCCTTATGAATTTTAAAAAAATATACATATGGTATAAAATGATTATAGAAATATATAAAATGATGATACAAATATACATATGATATAAATTACTTTCTCTGTTAGGATTGCTTAATTTTCTCTTTAGTATTTCTTTATATAAGATTTTTTAGTATTCACGATTTTTACCATAAAATAAATTGAAAAATAGTCCTCAGTGACAAAAATTGAAATAAATAGAACTTAGTCTCCTTAACTCATATATATTACAGTTATTAAAACAACTGTTACAGTCACTCGAAAAACTACTCTAAATACAAATTATTTGTGCAAAACATTTTGCGTACGATTTTGTTTTAAAACTCTTATTCAATAATTTTAAATAACCCTGAAATGAGCTGAGATTGCGCAAGACATAAAACGTTCGTTGGAAATAGTTGTTACCGAGGATTGGCCCGAAAACGGATGTGCGCTAGGTAATAATATTATACTGTATAATTTAAAGAAGTTTATGACTGATAAGTAAGGCCCGGATTTTGATGACATTTGCATTTTTGGACATTTTTTGTCCTTTAGAGCATTTTTTTAGATTTATAGGGCATTTTTCATTTAATTTATTGGCTTATTTTGCATTTTAAAACATTTTTTAAATTTTTTGTTAGTTTTTTCCAATTCTTCTTATTTTTTTATCATTTTTTATTATTACACTGGCTTCCAAACAGTGACGAAAATCTCTAGGATATTAACAGGTGAAGCAACATCTTTTCAAATTGAAGAAGAATTGTCAGTAAGTGAGACCGTTTTTTTCAAGTACGCACCAATAACATCAGTAAACGTTGAAAGAAGCTTCTCCAGGTACAAAAATTTACTTTCAGACAAGGGACGCTCGTTTACATTTCAAAATATCAAAAAAAAATTTAATAATCCAATGTAATTCTGATATTTAGTAATATTATGAGATGGAAGTTGTTATATTCATTAAAGTTTCTATACAAAATGAAAATGTTTTGGGGTCAATCTATTTTCCTTTTTTTTGTTATTTTAGGATATAAAACATATTTTTCAAACCTTAATGAACGTAGAACAAGTATTGCATTGCTTTATATTTTTTGAAATGGCTCATAATAATTTTAAAGAGTAAAACATTGTTTTAGTTCAATATTTTTACTTTATTTAAATCATGTCATAAGGCATTTTTAGCGCAATTTTCGCATTTTTAAGGACATTTTTCGCACTTTTTAAGGACATTTTTTGCACTTTTTAAGGGCATTAATGGGGATTTTTCAGGTCATCAAAATCCGGGCTCTACTGATAAGGTTGAGTTTTAATTATACAATTTTAATGATTTTAGAAAATTATAATTTATTTAAAAAGAGAGAGAGATAGAAACAAAATCTGCCTGTTATGCACATGATAAAACTATTCCATGCACAAATGAAAAAAAAAAAAATCAAACCCATCACTCATAGGAAACCAATACATATATGATGGCATCGAAAGGTTAAAGCTCGCCAGTAAGATAGGAAAAAAAAGATACATGAAAGTCAGGCTTGAAAATATAACTACTTTTTGTTTATTTACATTCTGGAATAAAAGTTTTGTTTCTCCAACAATCACTTCCTGTATGAAAAGTACGGAAAAACCATCCCATCAGGAATGCTAATTCTTCTGTTAAGGTGTCAAAACTAAATGATGTGATCATAGATCACCCCAAATCTCGAGGAAGTTTTTCATCGTTAATCTTTAGAATGCTCATAAATTTTCGGAAGTTTTTTCGTAACACAATTGATACAAGACTTGTAAAATGGATCTATGAAACAAACAGTTATAATAACAGAACCGGAATTAATAATATGGTTGATTTTATTATTTGAGCTACTTGACCTTCGCACTTGTTGTAAATTACTTTCATCTTACTCATCTATATACAACTGTAAAATACAACTTAATGCAAGGCTTCAATACGTCTTTCTGACTAAGCGTTTACATCTATTTCTAGCTAAGCGCTCTGTTTCAATTAGTTATAGTATTCCTTCGATTTAAATAAAATAAATTGGTTGCAGAAAAATGCAAATTGAAGTTATCTTTGTTGACGATATGAATTTTTTTTTTAAATTTTAACTCAGCTTTTACGAACTGAGACTAGATCCTTAAATAATAGCAAAAATTGCAATATTTACTTAGAAATCTTAGGCTTAGAAGAAAGTAGACTTATGCAGTCCTTGGTTAAATTATTCGACGCATTATAAGATTTTATGTAAAATCTTAACTGTCAGGTGATACTATACAGCTTTATTGTTTTTGCGTGGCTGAAACCAGTTTGCACTTGCTTACGTTAGTGTATGAATTGGTTAAATTAGACGATATATTACATAAATATAGTATGTTTACTATATCAGGTATTTTATCAGTATGTTATAAAAATTAGATCAAATTATTAGACGCTCTGTAGTTTTTTAATAATTACATGTTTTGCACGAGTTTGTATGCAATACCTGTATATTTAAACATACATGTAATGGGTCTTTATTCAGGAGATCTTTATATACTTCCTATTTGTATTATTTTTAACGTATTTCATTACAATGCTAATCAATTGATACACAAACCTAAACAAGTGCAAACCCGTTTCAGTCACATAAAAACAATAAAGCTGTATAGTATGACCTGATAATTAAGATTTTACATAGAATCTTATAGTGCGACTAATAATTTGGTCAAGGACTGTAAATACGATCAAGAATTTTTAAAAAAATCAATTCTTTAAATTTATCATACATAAAAGAACAAATGTTAAGCAATTTTTGCTCATAGTAGGATATTAAATGTATTTCTAGTAGGATATTAAATGTAATGTATTTCTTTATATTTTTGTTATGAAAAGTAGACTCAAAGAATATGCTGCAACTTGAATGGAACCCTTCAATGGTTTTCATTGTAATTAAAAATTCCAAAACGCTAGGGTAAATTGAATTTTTTTTTTTTTTGTCATAGACAAGCAGTGCCTCTCAGATGTACAGTGCTTTTAACCGAACTAATAGACAAGTGCTTTGATTAAAGAGAAGAAAAAAAACTTTTTAGTTATAAAATTGTACCAAATGTTAGGTCACAAGAGGTCAATCGACAGTAATTATTCGCGTTGTAACAGTAGCAAATAATCAACAAACCTCAATCTACTCTAATGACTGAAAATAAATTTTAAAAAGAATGTACAAATTTTAATCTACTTTAATGAGAGTTCCGCTAATTTTGATCAAACCAATAAATTAAGAAGTTATTTTTAAGATTTACAGAATAAATGTTTTTCCCCCTACACTCAGATATTAAAGACTATTTTTAATTGATTAACAATTATTTTTACATTAGTTTGGAACACATTTGCTTCGTAATAATTGTAATAATTTGTATACAAAACAAACAACATACAAATCTAAAAAAAAATTTAAGAATTGTTTCATTGTACTTAAATTCACTCAAAATATAGATGTTTCAATTTTAAAATATAATACACAGATTTGCTATTTCTTTTGAGAGATTGGGGAAACCCTTCCAATGGTTGAGCAGAAAACGGAGTATAACAATGGGTTTTATATTTTTCAGTAAAGTTTCTGCTAACAACATTGTTTCAAATTACCTTACAAAAGCGTTTTAAAATATCTATCGTAGTGATAAAATAACGTTCACTCCAGTAACGTTGCAATTTTAAACCCAACTACAAAAACTTACGAGTCAGGTATTTTATTTTATATTTTATAACCGTCGTTGAACAGCCGACCCAATTAAGTTTACGACTACCAATGTTCAACTCCGCAGCCTTGTGATTTTGAATCCAATCCAGAAGACGAGGGAACTCCTGGATCGAGTATTAGGAGAAATTCGTCTTCGTCGAAGATTTTTTGATAGAACCCTCATTTGCGTTACATAGGGAGGAAAACCACGAACAGCTCTCACGGTTAGCATGACGGCAAGGGGTCTCCCATGGTCCGTCTACCACTGAGGATATTTTATGTCAGCACTATAGTTGGTGCGAGCCGGGTGCGGAATTCGTATCGACCAGCCATCGCTGGGATTCGAACCCGGTTTGCTCCATGCCGTGTAGGATCTTTTGTTGAATCTTCCATGTTTAGCCCGACGGAAACGAGATTCTTAATATGCGGTTCGCCTACCACTGGTGCTGTTCTACGTTAGTACAATGATCAGTGCAAGCTGGAAGCATTATACGAATCAAACAGCTAATTATTCGAACCTATGGCACCTACGTCGAAAGCGAATTTTCTGACTCCTTCCAACCCTAAAAATTAGAATTTTTAAAAAATTTTTTGATTCAAAATTCGTAATTTTCATATGTTTCAATAAATGTGCTTAAGCTAAGGCAGGTTAAATAAGCAAAAAAAAAGTATAAGAAAAAATACATAAGTAATTACACTCATGTAATGAATATTAAATATTCTAACTAAAATTAATTAACTGAAAAAAATTAAAATTAAAAAAAATCAAAATTTAAATTAGATCCTTAGAAAATAATTTTTTTTAATCTATCAGTAATCTAACATATTTTTTAAAACATAATCTAACAGAATTTTTTTCAATCCGATATAAGTGAAATACATTCATAATAGATGTTTATGTTAACCCTTACTTTAGAATTAACCTTCAGAATTATATGTTAACTTTAAATAGACCGTTCAAAAGACCGGTTATTGTATTGTTTTGTAAACTGTTTGTATGTTTAATGTTAAATACAAAAACAATTTATAACCTATTAAAACAAACAGGACTTATCAACATAACAGTTGGTCATTAATACTTTTTGATCTTCTTTTAATTATGTAAAAAAAAAAAAAAATTCTAATATTATAAGTAAAAATAAGCTTGTTAAAAGCATTCTGTGAAAATGCTCCCGATTTTCATTACAGTCGTGGCTTACTTTAAACTTACATGTTTACTTATTTATGATTTATTGATTGATTTATTGAATTATTGAAATTACATACATTTGCTGACTTGTGTGCTCAATATAGGCTTATAAGTCATTGTCAAGTAGAAAATACAGATAGAACAATTCAGAGAAAGACATCACAAAGAATGCATCCAGGGTTACGGCGGGATTCGAACCCGCTACCTCCACGCTTAACAGAGCGCTTGGACCGGCGATACCGCTCGGCCAGGGAGGCCCCTACTTATTTATGCTGCTTGCTTTAAACTTACATGTTTACTTATTTATGCTGCTTGCTTTAAACTTACATGTTTATTTATTTATGCTACCACCTTAAAACGAAGTCCAAATATCCGCAACTACGAAAATTTTAAGGTCAATAAGTTCCTCACTTTCTATGCAAGCTTTTAGTTTGTATCAGCAAAATATAATACGTTTTGATATTTTTAAAAATTTACATTTTTCTAATTTTTAAAAATTTACATTTTTTTAATGTTTGACCAATCTACGTGTGCTTCGTCGCATCAAAAAATACTGTACTGAAATTATTTCAAAATTATAAACCTTAATTAGTTAAAAAATTTCTTATTTTAGATCAATTCCATGGATTTGTCTTTTTATGCAAACCATAATCCACTACTAGAAGAAAACAACACTATTGGGTAAGCTTTTCTTAACATATCCAAACCTAGGATGCTTACTTGCATACCAAAATAGTTTCTAATATATTTTTAGTCTATTCAAAATTTTGACTTTATCAACACTTCTCTCAAGGTAAGCAGCAAAAATTTTTTATTGATTTACTTTTATTCTATCAAACAAGTCGTGCCTTACAAATATAAGTTTGAGTTTTTAGGTCACAGAAGTAAGTACTTATTACTATTATACTTTAATATTTGCAAGATTTTTTTTGTCTGATATGAAATTTTATTTTTATAAATTTAATTTTAAATAAATGCATAAAAATTCATTTGCCCTAATTCACGTAAAATAATGAATAGGATTCAAAAAGCAATCAATCAAAATTGATCTTCCTTTACCCTTCACGTAAAATTAATTTACGTGATGAATCACAAGATGCCTTCGCGGAAACGTGACCTTTATATGACTAATCGCAATTTTGTTTAATGCTTGAGAACTAAGATATATTAACAGCGTGTTTTCGGAAATGCGTTGCATGGTGTGATTGATTGCATCAAAAATATAGTTCATAACTAATTTATTCTTGCTTTCATAAAAATGAAAACTTACTTATTTACTGATTTTTATTTATGTAGGGTGAATTGCGTTTAAGTTTAGAGGATATTCTACAAAACGTTTATTGAAATTTAGAAAATGACCTTCCGAAATTAATTCATTCTTTTGTCCTGGCGTCTTCTAAAATTCATCTAATTATAAACTAATTTTGTGTGAAAATGCGTAACTTGCAAGTTGTGGTAGAATTTATTCCACCAAAATAAGATAAAAGTGAAAAGTAAATTTTTTTCTTCTTTGGGATCATTCAAGAAAGTTAAAGAACAAGTATAGGTTCCGTTGGTTTTACGAAATTTCAAAAATCTGGGAAGAAAAAAAAAAGTTAAAGAAAATGTAGGGCTGCTTTTTTTTTTTTTTTTTATAAACCAAACGGCTCAAATAAAAAGATATTGATTTTATTTAATGATTAAGAAAAAAATATTTACAAAATTTAGAACTTTTGATCAAAAATACAAAATTTAGAACTTTTGATCAAAAATGCAAAATTTGGAACTTTAGCAAAACGTTAAAACTTGATTATAAACTAATTTTGTGTGAAAATGAGTAACTTTCAAGTTGTGGTAGAATTTATTACACCAAAATAAAAGTAAAAAGTAATTTTTTTTCTTCGGGATCATCCGAGATAGTTAAAGAACAAATATAGTTTTCGTTGGCTTTACGAAATTTCAAAACTCCGGAGCGAAAAAAAATCAAAGAAAATGCAGAGCTGTTTTTTTTTTTTTTAAACCAAACGTCTCAAATAAAAAGATATTGATTTTATTTAATGATTAAGAAAAAAATAATTACAAAATTTAGAACTTTTGATCAAAAATACAAAATTTAGAACTTTAGCAAAACGGTAAAACTTGATAAAGGTTCCTTTTATAAAAATTTTCCAATAAATCGGTCCATTATTACAATAAATAAAATAATGAAACTTCCATTACTTTTGAATTTATACTGTTTCTGCTTTTTCTCTCATAGAAATGATAGTCGAGACACTGATACTACAGCATCGCCTCCACCTCCAAAGAGGATGAAGACATTTCCACAACATAGAGGTACAAATAAAAATTTAAAAAGTGGTATTTTGAGAAAATACGAATTAACCTCAAATGTGATCTCATTTTAAAGTATTTACCAATTTAAAAAATAGAAATAAACCAAGAGTAAATTGTGAATTTTTAAATGCCGTATTTTTCTCATATCAATTGTGATAGTATTCAAGAGGTATCCTGGAATTCCGGATTTTTCGTATTATCCTTCCGGGTCATAAAATTAGAAGGGAATATGATTTTTCTGTGAATATCGCAGAATTTTGTGTTTCTCAAGACCATTGGTTCTCGGACATTCGATAATCAAAAACTTATAATCCGACGAAATTTTCACGAAATTACTCAATCCAAATTTCAAAATTTGAAAGTTTCGCTTATCTCGCAAAACGGGACGTTTACATACACGTGATTCTTCTGCTAATGGGCAGAAATCTGTCAATTGTTTCTTTTGGTTTGGCGGGTTTTCGCCATTTTGAATATTTGAAACTAGAGCCGGAATCAGCTGATATCGTGATTTCTGTTCCCGTGGTTTGAATATCAAGCATAGATTTTCGTATTTACCTAATTTAAAAGTTACTCCTTGCGATTCATATTTACGGGATTTCAAAAATCCAACATCGCGATATTTGCAAGAATTAAGGTTTTTCTTAAATTAGTTATTATAAAGGTGTGACATTCATCATGGGTAGGTATTTTAATTATAAATTAATATAATATTATCTTAAATACGAAACATGTATGGTTTACAAATTGATATCTTGATATCGATTTTTTGCACATAAAATTTTCAGGGTTTTTCACTTTATATCACAAATTACCCTTGTCATATTATTAACAAATTTTCCGCTTTCCATATCCGCAGCTTATACTGTCATACAAATTTTCCGCTTTCCATATCAGCAGCTAATACTGCCATAACTTGATTGCAATTTGATATCTTGAAAATATTTCATAATTTGAAACTTCACTCTTGGTTTATAAGTTTTTTTTTTTTTAAATTTTGTAGTTGAAAGAAGCCATGAATGGCCGAGATATAGCGTCCCTCGTTATTGTGGATTTTAAGCTGAATTTTCGTTTTTCCATTGTTTTGATAGCTTTTAATGTTAAAATAACATTCGGTAGCATTTCAATAAAGGCTAAAAATGAAGATGTCGCTTAATTAAATTAGGAAAAATAGCATTTGATAACTTTTAGGGCTTCTATGGATATTTTTCTGAAAAATTTTAAGCGATAAAATTTTGTGGTTAGTAATTTTGGATAAGTAATTGAATATTGCACGTTTGTTGGAATTCAGATTTTCTTTTTTTTATATTTATTATTGTTTAAACTGATGAAAACAAATTTGAAAGATGTTGAAAAATTGTTTTAATCTAATTACGGAAAAACAATGATGTTAAAACAAAAGTCTAAAATAAAGGCAAACGGAAAATGCTTATCTACCTTTCAAAAAATGCTAACTGCAGAATTATGTTTGAATAATTTTATCAACGAACATGAATCGAGAATAGTGCGCGGTACCTAAAATTCTGAGATGCCTTAGTAATTTAAAGGTGTCGAAAAATACTACCGAGTAAAGTATATATCCAACATCTATTAAATTATAAAAATTAAATAAAGATAATTTAAAATATATGTTTTCCTCTTTCAGTTAGGGTAAACAACCACAAGAAATTATTTTTATATAAAATTGTCTTTTATGTATCAGTTTTAACTCGCATAAATAAGAATGTTATCTCGAGTATGGAGAAAACACATGCATTCTATAAAGTCTGATATTATCTTTTAATTAACATAAAACTAAGAGTAATAATAATGCAATGGAAATAGCACTATAGTAATTTATTGCAAACAAATCAATATTATTGTGTTTGCGAGGATGAAAAATTTTTTAACTCGCATCAATGCAAAAAGTGTACTGCGCACAGGAAGAAAAAAAAAGGAATTACCCTGAATGATTTTCGATCAAATGATCAGTTTTTCACGTTCTAGGACTCAATCTTGATTGTTCGGGGGGGGGGGGGGGAGTGACCACAAATATGCTAATTAATTAGTGCAGGCGATATTTTAAGTTACGAAATCAGACACAAAAACGTACTTTCTCCGAATGAGCATAAATTTCTTTGCCAGTGGATTTCTGACCCTCAAAATATAGGGGATAGCTGCAATCTGGGAAATACGATGCCAATAGTTTGGTCAGGAGTTATGAGAACAACCCTTACAGCCACTGGAACTAAAGAGCGACTTTGAGCACGCTGGTTAGATTTCTTGGCAACGCCTTATGTACGCCTCGCCAATATCGTTTCTTCGTAATTTGTTCACAAAATATAAATCAATCACAAATCAGATTTTTAATGATTGAATTTTCCATTTCAAGCTAAGTAAATGTTCCTTTGCAGAAAATGAAATAGCGTCATCAATGTTTTTTTCCCTCATTTTTCAATAATAATAACATATTTATTGAAATCCAGTTTACTTTAAATTTTATTCTGATGTTTCTGTTTCTTTGTTTAAAATATTACTGTTACGTTACTGTATAAGATTATTTTAACGTTAATAGTAAGGACTTATATGGACCTGTTATACCACCTTTTTTTAATATCATACTTTGTCTATAGCAGCGTTTATTCAGCTTACGTAATACTGTGTATATCTGAATCAGAGTAAAAGATTTCAGCACCTGTGCCTTTTAATTCTGTGTTCAATCCTGTGGAATTTTTAACCCTCATAATATGACGTAAATATTTGGAAAATATGATTTTAATGCGTGATTTTCCTTCGAGTTTTTCACCACCCATAATTGAACGAATTTAAATAATTTTTGCATGATTTCATAAAGCTTACTTACGTAAAGATAATTTCGTGCAAAAGAAGAATTTTTCATTAATATTTTTTATATAATATTTCTTTAATTGAAAAATTTTGAATCTAATAGCAGAAAATTTTTTACAGCCGCTGTAATTTTGAGTGACAAAAATTCAAAATATAAAAAAAAAACTGGTCGTAGAGTTCGTTCTCGAGAAATCAGGGAAAAGGTATAAGGCAGGGTTTATACGCCTCAAGGGAAACCTGCAAATTTAAGAGAATTTTAAATTAGATAAAAAAAAATCTGCGAAAGTGATCCTTTTCGTCAAAAACCTGAAAAATGAAAGTTTCCAAGCTTTTTTTTTCTTTTCCTGAAATTTTTTTTTTAAAAATCCCGCATAAAAATCATATATATATAGACACAGTCCAGTCACATTAATGTGACCACTTGTCAAAAGCCAGAATAACCACCTTTGGCAGAGTGGACCGCTGTGAGGCGTGCAGGAAGAGAGTCAGCTAGGTTTCTGAAGGTGTTCACTGGGATGTTGAGCCATGCCGACTTCAGTGCCATGGCCAGCTGCGTTAAATTACGCTGTTGAGGATATGTGGCGCGAGCAACCCGATAGAGGTGGTCCCACAGATTCTCGATTGGGTTTAAATCCGGAGAGTTTGCTGGCCAGGGAAGTACGGTAAACTCATCCTTTTGCTCTTCGTACCACGCACATACACTGTGAGCTGTATGACACCTCGCATTATCCCGCTGGTAGATGCCATCATTCTAAGAAAAAATCATTCGCATGAAGGGGTGGACATGGTCCGCAAGGGCAGATGCGCACTAGTGCTGATCCATCGCTCCTTCCACAATGATGAGTGCACCCAGTGAATGCCAGTAAAACATTCCCCAATCCATAATGCTCCCTCCTCCAGCCTGGATCCTTTCGGCAATTGTTGCAGGGTGTTTGCTTTCAGTCGTTTCATGCTGTATACGCCAGCGTTTATCCGTCCGATGGAGCATAAAAAGTGATTCATCGAATAAAGCCACCTGTCGCCACTCTGTGGACGCCCAGTTGCGGTACTGGCATGAAAATTCCAGCCTTCGTCGCCAATGAACAGCAGTCAGCATAGATGCATTAACCAGACTTCTGCTACGGAGGCCCATGCGTAGCAACATTCGCTGAACCGTTGTTGAGGATACACACTTGGTAGCCCCTTGGTTCATCTGGGCGGTCAGTTGCTCAACAGTTGCACGTCTATTCACCCGAAAGCGTCTCCGTAGCTTTCCTTCGCCTCTGCCATCTATAGCCCATGATGCACCGCATGTGGCACGCCGCTGATTTTGGATAGTGCCATTTTACCATGCACGGTATACTTTCAACACGGTGGTACGAAAACATTTCACAAAATTGGCCGTTTCCGAAATGCTTCCACACTTGGCCCGAAAGCCAATAATCATACCCTTTTGGACGTCGGATAAATCGCTACGTTTTTGCATTACGCCAACGCTTGAAATGCTTTCCGATGCCCTAGGACATCCTTTACATGCACTCTACTGTAATATGCTGCCACCTGCCTTCTGTGATTGGTTATTTCACGTTGACGTCGAAGATAGGGGGTGATCACATTAATGTGACAGGACTGTGTATATATATATATATTTTAATAAACAACCAGGTACTATGTGTATTTGGTTGCTTGTGGTAGTAAATGCTTAAAGCAGTGGTAGAGATTTAATATTGATGCATATTAACTTATTCATGCTTTTAAGGTTTTATTAATGTGCACCAACGTTATTATCCAGTGTAACTGATAAGCTGTGTAACAGAATATGCTAAAAATTGTTTCGCTGGGGAGTCAGAGAAAACTTCGAAAATATTTTTCCAGAAATTGAGTAGGAACCGTGAAAGTATTACATACAAAAAAAATTCTCCAAATCAAGCAATTAATTCAAGATTTCAACGATGTACCATAACATAAACATTAAAAGCCTTAAACTTAAGACTACTATCCTGACTCAACTACAAGGATTGTATTTTCTAGATTGCAGCTACCTCCCCCTACACATACTTATTTTGTGGTATTCGGGAATGACTGTGGAAAAATTCTATGAATTCGTAGGGGAAAAAAATCTTCATTCAGAGAAAGTACGTTTTGTTTCAATTTCATACGGTAGTACACATTAGGGAATTTAAATCATTACTATCCCAATTTGGTGGGTGAAGTACGTTGAATAATACAGACGAGGAATCATAATTTTTCAGTACTTGTTTATACTCGTCAAGATTCAGAAGAAGCATTCCAGCCACTTCATATTTGTCCACCAACGCTTGCTGGCCTAGCGAAAGGGGTAAGTTTCATTACCTTTTATTTTTCACTTTTTTTTCAAAGGACTCAGTATTTCCAATTATGTTAAAAGTAGCTTTAATTTTCATCATGATCTTCAATTTTTCAAACTATTAAAGTTCAACGATTTTTGTATTTTTAACTGAAAACTAATGACTTCTTATATTAAGCAGTATCAATGGTGGGATTTTATTCTATTACAGTCGTTAAACAGCCGACCGAATTTTCAGTTTACGGCTACCAATGTTTAACTCCGTAGCCTTGCAATTTTGAGCTCCTGGATCAAGTATTCGGAGAAATTTGCCTTAGTGGAGGAATTTTTGATGGAACTAACCCACATTTGCGTTACACGGAGGAAAACCACGAAAATCTCCCACGGTTAGCCTGACCGTAAAGGGAATCTAACCCATGATCCGTCTACCACTGAGGATAATTTAAGTCAGTATTATGGTCGGTGCGAGCAGGGTGCGGAATATCGAATTAATCAGCTGTAGCTGGGATTCGAACCCGTTCTCTCATTGGGAGGCGAGCGCTCTATCTCCTGAGCCACCACGGCTCAGAAAATTCCAATTACCGGCCAAAAAATTCAAATTTCCAGTGCATACATAGTTACTAACGGACGCTTAAGACCATGGGGTGAGATCCAAAATTTGGCGAGTTATTGATAGATAAATATAGCCAAACCCTCGTTATGAGTACTAAATTTTAAATAATCTGGCTACAATTTAATTATCAAAAACAAAAAAAAAAGGTTAAAATTTAATATAACCCCGTAACCTAAACATTTTTATGGTTAGAGGGAAAAAAACAGCTTAAAGAAAAATAAACTTAAAATATATTTTGATATTCGATTTGTTGCGACACTGAGTTAATGAGTTGTACGCTTCTATTGAATTAAAAGTTAGCCATTACATTGATTGTTAAGAAAATAATTAAAGTATTTTCGCTTTTTATAAATATCATAAAAAGTAAATAGTTGATTTTTTTTTCCGAATTGAAAATTGTTTTGATTATTTATATAGCTATTTTTGAGAAAGAACACAATTTTAAGAAACTAGTTATGCAAAGTTAATTTTTCCAAAAATTCACAATAAATCTGTTATATGTGCATCTAAAAAATTTTGATACTTTGATGAATATGAAAGATTCTGTTGTAAGAACCTGACAATTTTATTTTCGTCCAAATTAGTTGTGTTCATATTTTCGTTTATTTTCAATGTAATGTACAGTGTGAAATATATATTACTAGTTTAAATAAGCGCTTAGATTCATTGTTTGCACTTATAAAATTACGGCCATTGTCTGAAAAAACTTTACCTCTTCGTGACATAAATCGTTTTAAAGCAGCTATGAAAGAATCAGATGTTAAATCTGAAACTATTTCAAAATAAACAACGCCAGTTACAAAGCAAATAAAAATTGCAAAGTGAATTTTTCGCTATGGACCTTTTCTTTGAAATTTGTATTTTATTTGAAAGAAGCCACAGAAATTAACTCCTGTAATAATTAAATGGAAATGATGTAATGCATCTTTATAAGGGCAAATCACCCATTTTTTGCTCCGATAATTGGGGATTAAATTTCGCACAAATTACACAATTATGAACAATACTAATACACAAATAGATAGACTTGTTGTAAATCGTTTTAAAGAAAGCTTATTCATAGAACTTTGTTTTTAGTTTATACAAACCTTGAGATTCTCTTTAAGATCACCCAGGTCTTGATAGAAGTCCTCCATTAAACACAACTAATATTAGCATATTTGATTGATAGTTAGAATATATGATATTAGATCTTTTACAACCACTAAAATTTAAGGTACAAATTTTCTCTGAGTCAAACTAAACAGTTCTTTATTAAATCTGACACAGAAATTTTTCATAAATTCAAACACAAACATGATTTACAACAAAACAAAAGAGACATCTTCAGATTTTTGACTATTAAAATATGGAGAAAGAAGTAAATCGTTATCTGGAAGATATGGAACTAAAAGCTTTTAGACCCTTAATATTAATTTTGCTTTCTTCGTCTTTCTCCATATCTTGAGAACTTCTTAAACAAATCAGATACTTTGTGCATGATTTTGTAGACCTCATTTCAACGATTTTCTGAATTAGAAATGTATTTGACAGATGGCCAGCCAGATCTCCAAACTTGAGTCTGATACCGGATATTTCGGGCTATTTTGAATTCCTTTCACGATCACTACATGAGCTGAAAAAAGGGTTAGTATTGGTCATCAGTCCCCATTTCAGTGTCCCACAACTTAATTGGTAGCGTGGAAAGTGTATGACACCAATTTTAGTTAATACAGCATTACAAATTTCATTCCAGAAACCATTTTGATAATTTTTCCAATAAAACCTATGTACTGAATCAGACATGTTACAGCAGTCTTAAAAATAAAGCTATAAACTTAGCACGGTAACAGAAAATTTCAAAAGCAGTTTTCAAATTATAATAAAAATTACTATTCAAAGGAATTATTAAATTTAAAAAAATACTTTTAACAAATACATTCAGTAACTTCGTTTAAATTTATTGAATTTATTTAATTTGGATTTAAATTTATTTAATTTGGAATCTTTTCTTACTTAGAGCCATAAACGATAAAATTCTCAGACTAAAATTATAATAATTAGTTTAATATTTTTTAATCAGAACTTAATATTTTTGATTAAAATGTATCAACAATTTGGAATGCAACTAAATCAGAGACTGCCCCAGGTTCTATAAAATCTTTAAAAAAAAACTGCAGGGAACTAAAATTTGCAGATTTTCAGCTAGTTTTTCCAGCTTTTAAAAAAAAAGCTTAACACAAAATAATTGCAACAAAGTTGCGATCAAGCTTACTTAACAAAGAATCATACGTAAAAAACATACATGCTGCTACCACAAGAAAATATATAGAATGTGTAGTAAGTTGGCATCTTTGCTTAATATATTTTTAAAATTTAGTTTGAGAGCAACAAGTTGGTTTAAAAATTTCTGTGAGAATTGAATCGTTAGTTGGATTCAATCATTTTAAATAAACTATACAAAGAAAGTAATTCATTTGCATATAAAATTTGATTTCATCGTCTAAAACTAGAACATAAGCAATCTGACCTCCAATTCACCACTGAAAATTTTCATGGTAGAAAAATTCAATTAAGTTTTTTTTCTTCTAAATAACTTAAAATTATTCAAGCTTCATAAAAATTCCGGAACAAATAATAGAAACGACACTTATGTATAATTTCTGGATGAACCCCCAGATTAACACAGCAAAATTTTGCATGTTTTGAAACGTTATTGTTTTGATTAAAATTAGGAGGGGGAAAAAAAGAATTCCGCAGAAAAGTGGCCATCTTATTGTATTCTCTAAAAAGTTTGCTTTTTTTGCGGTAAATCAGATTTGAGCTTGAACTAAAGTAAATTTCTATTTTACATTCAATAAAGAACTGTCTAGTGCACATTTTCTATGAAGTTGTTTCTATTTTCCTTCAGCTTCAAAAATTAGACACAGAAAATAATTTGTAACTTAACTTTTGAAGGCCACCATAGATCTTTAATTATTAGGCAAGGGTGCTCACAGAAAGCCTTGAATTGTATTATTGGGTCATTGAAATTCCCAGTAATTCTTCTCTTCAAGTATTTTAATAAATTTTCTAAGGATACTATACTATTTCGGTACCAAAATAAAATGCATTGTAGTATTTCCTTCTATTTTTCAATAAGCATTATACAAAAGAAAGTTTTTTAATGTTTTCCAAAATTAAAATATTATAATTATTTTTTGTGAAATTGTTTTTGTTTAATATGTTTTAGCAACAAAATTTTATTCAGTTCCTTATGTTCATATCCTCTATATAGTGCTCAAAATAAAAAAACGGAACACTTTAATAACTTTTGATCTAGTAATTGAATTTAAAAAGGACTAAGGTGCTATCCTAATTTTTTGATTGTCTAAACATACAAGTATTAATGAATGTTGTGCCACTCATACTGTAAGTTACAAATTCAGGCATAAAAACATAATATCTCTGATAAATATACCTTTTTTATTTATTTAATTAAAGAACTTGTGTTCTTGACCCTTAAAATATAAGAGAATCCAAAATATAGAGATTATGGTTCCAATACTTCCACTGGTAGAGCAGTAAAAGGTTTGAGTTCCTTTATGTTAATTTGACTGCGTTTTTCACCACATTTCTGAAACAATTTAAGTAAATCTAAAAAATTTGACCACAACTCTAAAGCTTCATTCAAAAATGGATTAATATTAAAAAAATTTCTAATTTATTATTTATAACAATGATCAAAAACATGTTAAATTGTAAAACAAGCAAAACTTTACTTCATTTCAATCTATAAAATTCAATTCTAAAAAATAAAATTTCAAAAAGTCACAATTTAAAACTTTTTGACCATTATAAAATGCAAGAATTGAAAATAGAAAAGAATTAAAGTATTTACTAGATATAATTCAATTAATTTGCTCTGTTCATTATTTTAAATTTAAAAAAAAAAAAAAAAAAAAACAGACATAAAATGTATTTTGTCTTAGTAAACATACCTTTTTGTCAACAGATAAGATTTCTTATCTCTCAAAATATGGGGGTGGCTGCAATCTGGAAATTATGGTCCCAATAGTTTAACCAAGAAAGAGATCAAAAGTTAATTCCCTTAATGTTAATTAAGTCCCTTAATGTTAATTTCATTAAAATAATTTCATTCTTCTACACTTTGCAAACAATTATTTATGGCCTATGGTTGCTTTAATCTCTGAAACTATTAAAGATAATCTGAAAACTTTTTACACACAATTGTGAAATGATACATCCAAAGATAATTCAATATAAAAAATTATTTTTTCATCCTTTAATATAATAATGATCAAAAACATTTTTACTCGTAAGAAATGAAATACTAATGCAGTTCTTGAAATAATCAGTTTGAATAACTGAAAGATTTGGATTTTCAATCTAATATCTTTTTATTTCAATTAATAATTAATACAGACAATTACTTTTGATTACATATGCTAGGATGCATAGTCGTGTTTTCGTTTATTTTGTTTCTTTTCAAATTATTGAAACTCCACTTTAAAATATTTCATTAAAAAAGTTATGAACTCTATTGCAAATTTTAAATAAATAGTGGTATGAAAATATACTAATTGATACTGATTATTTTTTATTGCAACAGTACTATCAAAATTTCCTATTTATTGATCTCAAAATTCCCCATTAATAGAATTCTACAGGAAAAATTGCAAAAACTTTTTATTCAAAATAAAGTTATTAAAAAGAGCATAGTTTATTATTATTTCTTTTTTGCTATAAAATTTGCCCTTATAGTACTAAAGGAGACTAAATTATACCTTTTTTTAAATTTGTTGTTTGCCCTTTCTAAAAGTAAACTGGTGCATGTATACTGTACCAAAATTGTCCCAGTTTATTCTTTAGCCCACTATGAGACCTGCAATTCACTTATTCACAAAATATAGCATTAAATAAAATGAAATACAATATAAATATTGCAAATGAATTCTGAATATTTTTTGTTAGTTGTTTTTTAGTAAAAAAAATGCATTGTGAAAATATTACAAAAATGAATAAAATCATAATATACAACAACTTTGTTTACACTGATAACAGAAAAGAATTTTTAAACATGAACCAAAAAGTAAAGTATAAAACTTAGACAAGCACTTCATTTTCATTTATGCTTTGATTGTGACTACCTTTTTATTTTAACTTGTTCAATATTATGTAAACAATTATGTAAACTAATTTTAGAAGTAATCAGAAAATGAATTTGATGATGCTGTATTTGTAAAATTTAATATTTTTCAATTGGCTCCATTCAAACTAAAACTATTTATATAAATAATAAAAAATTTAATTCTAAAAAGATAATTTAAAAAAAGTTGACTTAGTTATTTAAAAAAAAAAACATTTAATATAACCAGTATATCTTCATCAGGTATAACTCACAACAGCACTTACCTATGAAGAGAACAGAAAAATTGAATGACTATAGGCTAAAAATGTGTTAAGCAAAACATCCACAAATATAAAGCAATGCAAAAATCTAATTAATGCAATATTAATTTATTATAATTTTAAATGTTTCCATGCTGTTGATCAAACCAGGCATTGGACTACCCTTCAGCCTGGTAGCAGAATTTACAGTCAATCTGCAGCACTGTCCTTATAAATCATCGCCTCTTTGAAGTCAGACAGAGATTATAATTATAAAAATTAAGCAGCAAAATTTTCAAATATGACACATAATAAAATTAGATAAAAACTTTATGTTTAAATTTTAAACAATCATATTTTAGCTTTGCTTAAAAGGCGAAGAAACAGATTCTTATACTAAACGCGATAAAGAAATGAGAAGAAAAACTACTTAGAAAAAGGATTATCCCAAATTAAGATCTTTTCATTTCTAAGGAATATATTTAATGAATACCAACTTATATAGTGTTCTAATTTGCACCCATTTAAAGTTTCTGTAAATGAAATTCATTATAATACAATCACAGGTACTTTCAAACACATAAGACTAAAGAACATTAAAAGTTTGTAGGGTTTAATATTACAAGAATATAAAATGGATATGTTTCAGTTGCTAATTGAGAAAAGTTAAAATATTTCTGCACTACTTTTCCTTAACAGACCATGTTAAACAAGAAGGAACATAAGCATACACCAGCATGATGAAGAAGTGTGTGTTAGTCTTATTTTGGTATCAATTTTAAAAAGAGGAATATTATTCCATGTTGTAAAAAATGAAGATTGAATTTTTTTTCTTTTTTCTTTTATTTTTAAATTTTAATTTACAGTTCTTCCTACAAAAATTTTTTTTCCTTCAAAAAAAATATTAAAAAAACGCAATGAAAAGTAGTTTGCAGCTATAGCGATAATCTGCAATCCCTATTTCTGTGCTTGAGGGTTTCTGCTACCAGGCCCATTATTTACTATTTATATTCAAATATTTTAAAAGTTAATAACTTTTTTTTATTTCTATCCTAGATTGAAAACAAGTACAGCATCAATATTGACAGTATAAGAAATGTATACAAAAAGAATACGAAAGGGTATGCTAATATTTTTATATAAATAATGACTAATGAAATTGAATCAAAGGTATTAGAAAATAAAAATTCACTCTTCCTTTTGCAGAATTACAATTCAAATTGATGATGATATTGTTAAGCATTACAGCAATGAAGATGTTTGCATTCTTGAAGTGACTAAAGTGAATGACGAGTTATGTGATATCACCTTAATAGAAATTTAGTATGTTTTGAATGTAGTTCTAAATTGAAGGTTCCTTTTCGATTTTGTTAAAAATTCAAAGATTTTATATATGCATAAAATATTTTCATATATTATTACACGTGGTTTTATTTTTTTGAAAAGAGCTATTTTTGAACTTTTTCTTTACTATCTAAATGTATAGTGATTATTTCGGATGTCAAAGATCAACAGTAGGACAGTTTTCTGCCAATTTGGATTATCATCAATAAAATATAATTTGAATAGTTTTCAAATCATAGAATGATGATCATGAAAAAAGAATTTAACACTTGTGAATAGTTTTATGATTTTTCACATGCCGTTATTGATAATGTGTTCAAGAAAATGAAACCATATTTTTTTATCTTACTCTAAAAACTGATTATTAATTAAAAGTTCAGAGGAAATATAATTTTTAACTTGGAGACTGTAGAATTTCTTTTACCACATGAAGGCTATAGAAATTATTTTGGAAATATAAATATTTATACAAGATGTCATGTGTGATATATTTGAAAACAACATTCCAATCTAAGAGACTGATTTAATGAAGTTATAAAAACACTGCTCAAGTAATACTTTTAAAAACATGAGTAAGATATTCAATGTGTGTTTAAGTTTACATGTGTAAATCTCTTTAGCTTGACAAAAATATTCACTAAAAATACAGTTGTGAAGGGGCCAAAGAAAATGTACTGTATAATCTCTAAAGTGAACAAGTTACATGATGTTTTGTTGTGCCTTATTATCATAACTCTCATTCACCAATTCCAGCTGTATCATAAATTTGATTCAGATATTATTTTAATGTGAACTTATTTATTTTTAAAGGAGAAATAAAAAAGCCTGTTTGCTTTTGATTTTATCAAATAAATTTAAAAAGAGATCATCTTTTTATAAAAATGCCTTTTGTATCAAAAATTATAATTGCAACATTTTATAATGTGAAATTTATGACATTTTTATTATCACTTTTATATTTACTAATAAAATGAAATGAATTTTCTACATCGCAAAGAGATGTTTTTTTTAATGCAATGCCCAATCAGTTTTATATATACTATTTATAATTTTGTGAAAGAAAAGAAATATGTTACTTTTTCCTTATGTGATAAATTTATATTTTGCTTTTTAGATAGAAAGTATTTCAAAAAGATAACAGTTAACATATGTTTTATTTATTAAGAAGGATTTTCTGAGAATAGTTTGGCTCAGTATTCTGGACTTGCTGTGATAAAGCATTAGAATATTTTCATTGCACTCATAATTATTAAATTTAAAAAAATTAAGAAAATCATTGTGATTAAAAATTATGAAATATTCAATGCAAGTATTTTGTATGATGTAATTTTACGTTTGAATATTTTATTACAGAGTTTTATTATAAAAGAATTATACTTAATTAAATTATTGATAACAAATTTTATAAAATCTTAAATTAATCATGTTTTCAAAAGCTAAATACCATAAATTGAAAATAATAAAATTTTTATTTATTTTCAATTTTTATTAATTATTTCCTAGATTTTAATTATTTTTATTTATAATAAAATTTTTATTTATTTTCAATAATCACAAAAAAGAAACTTGACTAAGCTTGAAAAGTTTTAAAAACTATGAATATAATTATTCTAGTCTGAATAAAACTAATTCAAATAGCTTACTGCCATGAAACTTTTATATATTATACTTTATATTATTTTTTTATTTACATCTACTTTATTTTAATTAAAAATATAAAGAAGAGACAAGTTAAAGACAACTTCAAAATAAGTATAAACTAATAAGTCAAAAATAAGGACTTAAAATAATAAATCTTAAAAATTAAATTTAACTGCAATATATTTTTTTTATTAACTGGGCATTGTTCTTGGATAGGAATGCATTCATGTAGTATTAAGTTAGTGGCAGAATTATTTCATTCAAAAGAAAAGTGAAATAAAGCTTGTATCCACTACAATGGTTAAGTATAATAGTTAAATAGATATGCTATGCCTAGAAATGCACATTCAATCCTCCTATTTATAATTGTTTGACACTTCATGCAAGTCAACCAATGTTATTCACGCATTTTTCGATCATATTCTCTATCCATACATCATATAATTCACAATTGGTTTCAATTTCATATTTTTATAGCATATCTGTCTCATTTAAACACATATTTAGCCACTATTAAAGTCTGAGGACAATAGTAGTTAACTTCAAATTATGTAAAAGATTGTGAACTTGTAAAATATCTGCATTTTCAACCTTTAAGTGTATTTAAGTATTAAGTTGTAAGTTTATATTTTTTCAGTTATTTAAATGTTGAGTGTTTATCACAGTATTAGTTGATATTTTCTAATCCTCTTTGATGCCATAAGCTAGATTGTGATAGTTTTTTTCTCTGCTTTTATATTCGATTTTTAGTAAATCTAATTGAAAATAGTTTTGAGGGTGATGTGAATGAAATGCATAGAATTTGGAATTTTTGTTTTTAATTATTATTTCAAAAGGGAATAGTATAAGCTCTTTAAAATTTGTTCTTATCCATCTTGAACTAGAATCTATCTATAAAGCGTAGTTAATTTCAGTAATTTTAAATTCAGTATAATTAAATGTATTTTTATTTTTAAAAGCAGGAGCACAAATGACACATGCATTATGCCTTTTTAATAATAATTTTTAAACTATCATATCTTTCAATACAAATATATTTGGTCATAGATTTTTAAAAATAATTAAAATTATATTGATTACAATTTTTACTTATATTTTCATTAAATGTTAATAAAAAAACTCAACATAAAATAAAAATCAAATTAGTTTTATGTATATTTTTTGCATTGCTTTTTCATCATCTGATTTTTAAAACAGATTTTTTGCACAAATTTATTGTTTTTTTGGAAAAAAAATATGCATACCAAATGTTCTAAAACTAATTATTTACAACAGTTCTTTATGACTTCATATAAGAAAGTGATTCTGGTGAAAATTTTTAAAGTATTCAAACAAGCATTATTTTAGCTTATAAGCTTTTTTTATTGCTATACTATCTTCATAACAAAAAAAATTGGAATAGATTTGTCATACATTTGCACCCATGTTTGGCGATTTCTTTTAATGCCAACCACTTTTGGCACATTCTTATTGGTGTCGCTTTTGTCTCATGCCAAAAACAAAATCAGTTATTGCAACCATAAATTCGAAATTCACTTGTCTTATGGTCATTTTTTAACACAAAACATGCATTTCATAAATAACTGCAGATCTATTATAAATGCTAGCTCCTAGGCAACTGTTTTGTTATGCATCTGCACCCAGAATCAAATATTACATCCCTAGTTCACTTGTATTACCATCAATTTTAAGAAACAGTGTAGAGTATGCTGGATAACGGTACTTGATGCAGGGTTTACCAGACAAATACATATTGACCATCAGTAACGAATCATTACCCCTAGACAACAGGTTTGTAAATGATCTGCATAAAATTAACAAAAGATTGCAATGTAAAATCCCCAAAAATATGAATATGAAAAAACTCACTTCACTGCTAGAGAGTAATCCATTTCCAGAAATCTTCTAGTTAAGCACATAATTATTCATAAGAGCAGTCCAAAAATATTTAAAATATTTTATTTGAAGACATCATCATCAATCAAACCATTTCACAAATGGTCATTATGAAAAACACACAAAACTACTAATCAAAACAAAACTTCAGTTTCTGCATCAAACTCTACGGAAAACTATTAAAAAGTTTAATCACCACCTCCTATCACGAAAAAACCCCTAAATACATTAAAAAATCCTTACAAAAAAACAACATTCAAAATCACTACACAAAACCAAAGCGCCTACCAAAACAATCAGTCTGCAGAAAAGCAGGGTTTGTTGATTTAAATCAGCTTGATTTAAATCATGGTTTAAATCAAATGATTTTTTTAAAAAAATCATTGATTTAAATCAACTGCTTTTTCTTTAAATATATATTGATTTTAAAAGTTAAAAAACAGTGTTTCAATTATTGATACTTTTATTATTTTCTTTTCTTAGTTTTAAAATTTATTTTGAATAAATTGCTACATTAATTAATTTTAGTTAACGAAATTATTTTCTTTCTTGGTGTGTGTTAAACTCCAACACATTTGAAATTACATTTTTAAAAATCTTTTGATTCTTGAGATTAAAAGTAGAAAATAAAGTACACATTTAATGCTGTCTTAATATAGACTTGCATAACTGTAGAAAATAACTAATAAACATGAATTTTTTTTTTTAAAAAAATGCAAATAATGTTAATTAGAATTCTACCTTTTGATTAAAAAAGCATGGAATTAAAATCTGCATTATATTTTATTGATGTAGGATTAAAAATGAATATTTTAATATAAAAATATATAGATTAAATATTCATTTTTTGATGAATGACTACATTTATAAACACAATCTGTTACATTTATTTTGTCATTTTAAAAATCAAGAGGAAAAAGAAGAAATCATAATTTTAAATTAAAATTATGATTTGCTAATTGAAACTTTGCTTTAATAGTTAAAGTACAGGGGTCTGTCCAAGTCAAATTTACTACTGTTTAGCGGTACCTTCACAAATTCAACTTTAGGAAAAAGTAGAATAATTTCACAAAATATTTTTTCTTTAAATTGTATTTCTGTGTCTCGTAAGAAACGATAAATCCATATTTTTATAATATTTTTGCGTTGTTTTTTAATATAATTTTTTATTTTCACAAATTATGCCTAAATTTTCACTAGGGGTGCCTCTCAGAAAAAGATAAACAGACCCCTGAAGTACTCTTTAAATTCTCTATTTCATCTAGTCTTTAAATTTCAATCATGCATTTGTTCCAAAATGGTTGCCATGCATTTAAAACTATGTATTAGAACGAAAAATTATTTTAATAAGTTAGAGCTCCTAAAATATTGTTATAATATAGTTTTAATGCTAATTTAATTTTGAGTAAAAATTTTTGAAGTATTTTTAATCATATAAATTAAATTTCTTACAGTGTATTTGAATAAAAATAAAAAAAATCTGATTTAAATCAAAAAAATCCAATTTAAATAAAATATAAAAAAAATGGGATTTTTT